CCTATTCAAATATTGGAGTAATATTGGCTAATAATTGACAATATTGACCCAACATAAAAATGCTCTGCCAATATTGTATAAATATATACCCGATACATGATGCTACATGGGAAAGTAGAGCGCTGCAGCTAATAGGGTGGTTCGACGAGGATTTCCGGCAGATGGAGACGCTGATAGGGGATGATTGACGTAGTTGTGGAGCAGAGTCCCAAGGGACGCCCGTCGGCATGACAACGCAAGGGCTCCGACGCGCCGAAGTGTCAGCAGATGCAAAGCCCACGAAAACGGAATAATTCAGTGAAAGCAGACACGTTTCGAGCGAATGGTAGTGGGCGACGATGCCGACGTCTGTCAGTCTACATCGTCTACCATCAGGTGCCCAAGTGAAGGAACCGTAACAAACAGCGGAAGGACGGAACCGCGTCGTCGTCGTCGCCAGTTCGCAGTAGAACCCGCACCTGAACGGTGCCCACTCCGATGATCGCCGTAGATTCATCACGATCAGTTAGCGGATAATCAGCGATGTGAAAATGAGCGTCGTGGACGCCAATGGGGATGGTCTCACATCGCCCGGTTACTACGGGCGCAGTGGCGTGCTCGAGACGCACGTGCGAGGCCAGTGGTACCGCGTGTTCGTCACCATCGAGGACGATTTCCTGTGCATCACATTGGACGAGTCGTACGAAAACACCACCACCTTGAATGGCACCCTGAACAACAACATCGAGACGCCGAGCGGCTTGTGCGAGACACCAGACGTGCCCGACTCGGTCGCCAACCAGAAGCGCTCGGTCCGAGTGATCAAGTCCGAAAACAATGGCCTGGGCATCTCGATCAAGGGCGGCCGCGAGAACAAAATGCCCATCCTGATCAGCAAGATCTTCAAGGGAATGGCGGCCGATCAGACTGAGCAGCTCTATGTGGGCGATGCGATCCTGTCGGTCAATGGGGAGGATCTACGCGAGGCCACCCATGATGAGGCTGTCAAGGCGCTCAAGAAGGCCGGCAAGTTTGTCGAGCTGGAAGGTGAGCTCTTGATCTGTTCGATTATCTAGGCCCAGCCACAGCCTCCGAGCTAGATACTCCTCTTTTCCTCCTCTCCTCCTCTAGGAGGCTGTGGGTTCTTCCTTAGAATTCACGCAACAGGTTGTGGTTGGTCAAGTCTAGTGGCTCTTGTACCCAAGGGCGGATCCAGGGGGGGTCATGGTCATTTTTTGAGAAAACTGCCAGCATTTCCTTAT